CATTGGTACGTGCGCGTTCATTTATTTATTTTCCACGAAATTTCGTCTCAGCCTCCGCTTTAATATTTAACTCGCTAGGCAGTTCGCCCACCATAGTCGGTCTCCTTCCGCATTGTGCGGCTGACAAATCAATTTCGCACAGCCAGCAGGCACCCTCGCCCGAGCACAACAGACAATCCTTCGCCGCAGAAATCAGCGCGCCCTCACAATTGGCAAAGAGTGCTGCGGTCAGCGAAGATGACTAACAAACAAGAAAGGTGCTGACTAGTCTCTCCTGCCTACAATACATAGGCGAGCGAGCGAGCGCCTGCAGGGTCGAGTGTGTATGCAACCCTCGAGGCAGTGAGGACGCCGACCGCAGAACTCAAGTTTCTTTGCACCTAATTTGCTGCGGCTTTCGCCTATTGATTTCTGCATAGCAGATGATCTTGCGGGCACGCTCCGTCCGTAACGTGTCTTCGAGAGCCTCAGTCACACCTCTCTCGGCCTGCCTAATTATCGCCAGTATAGAATGCGCTGCCGAGAGTGCTATCGTGATGAAGTGGTTTTTGGGGAAGTGTCAAAGAAAGGTTCTTGAGATATTACGTAATATTTAAAAATGTTGAACCTGTGCACTAAAGGATTAAAAGAAGTGTAATTTTGAGCTAACACGTAGATTATAAAACATTTAATTAAAGCATAAAAATGAATCGATGTATTTAAAATAAAGTTTTTGCACAATTTGAAGTTATCATAATCATTTAAATGCTATTATTTTATCTTTTTATTTGGGTCAACGTCTCTCATCAAGTTCCTTTTAATTCAATTTAATGCTGATGAACAGAGAATATGAAAACTTGAGCAGCTTAAAGCTAACTTTTAGAGAATACCTTGAGTTTTGCACGGATTTGCTAGCAGAGCAGCGAAAGAAGAAACTTTGAAACTAGAACTCGTATAACAGAAAGGTGCAAGAAAAAAAGAATTAAATCTTTATTGCACGTAGAGCTAAGCAATTTCCCCGTGACCGTGTTCCGACCGTGCTCGCGTTGCAATTGAACTTTCCTGCATGTGTCGTTTCGTGTTTGGCCGAGGAAAATTGCACAAGTTAGTTCGCACGCTTGTTTCAGCTGCATTTGTGCAAAGCCAACGGTTGCAACTCGGTCGTATTTGAGCACTGCCCCCTGCCTTTGGTGCACATCACGAGCCGCACGTGCTCTGAATACACACCTCACCTAGAGAGGTGTAAAGCTGCATTCAGCGTAGACCGGGTCTCCGCAGCGCGATAATTACCTCTCGAGTGCAGCTCGGTGGAAAAAGCAGCGCGGAGATCGATCGGGCCTCGTTAATATTGCAAATCAATTGGGGCCACGAGCTCTGGTATTTTTTTTCTATTTCAACTACACGATCACTATTTATTTATATATAGAAAACACAGGTGCACCGAGCAGATGTGTTTCTGTTATTGGAATTACGTATCTCTCTTTCCTCGGCATGTATGCTATTGCTTGCGTTTTCAAATTCATTTTCATTGAAAAAAAGCCAGCACGCGCCTCGGTGAATTAATATTTCAGCATTGATATTCAAATGCAAAGAGTTACTTGACCCAGTTCCGATTACTTTTTCCATTTGCCATTCGACAATTGGAAAAAAATGCAGAGCTTGTAATAAATTAGAATCATAAAGACATGTTTCAACAACAACAAATTTTTTTTATTTTTTTTCCTGTAGTGAATCTTCTTTTTTTTAATCTACTTTTGATCTTACTTAGGAATTAATTCAAATGACAATAATGTCCATCTAGAATTATTATTTCCCTTCAATGACCTATTTTTTGAGGCAAAAAGTACCCTTTTGTCCTTTGACAAAGTTTCTAAAAGTTCATGCAGTCCACCAGTCATTATGGTTGATTCTCGCTTGCATCCATCTATCATGATAAAGTTTAATCCTGAAATGACAGCATATCATAAAAGGAAGCCTAACATGTTTATACCACGTCGAGTTATAATTCTTTTGTCACCCTCCCTCCTGCCACCCACAGCATTTATATTCCGTCGTGAGAGGCCACAATCGCCGCACCCTGGCAGGGCTCAATGCAAAATAAAAATACATGCTGTTGGCTCGGCTCTTTCAACACGTTACTTTTTAATAGTCCCAAAGCCATACAGTGCCCGACGCTGATTTCCTTTTCTTTCCCAAAGAAAATAACCGTCCGTGCTTGCTGGTGAGCAATAAAGCGTATTATTTGTCACATTTTTATGTCATTGTGCGTTGTAAGTCTTCTTTTTGCCGAATCCAATCTCTTCTGCCGCCGCCATAAAGGTGCAGATGAAAAAAGAAGAAAATAATGCTTCTTTTCGGCTCAGAGCGCGCAAATACATCCTGAAAAATAGCGCTGTGCGCCGGAATTAATGGCCGTGCGCAGTTTGTGTGTGTGTTTCAACAACAGCGGTAATGACACTCCATTTCTTACACGAGTCGGAGAGAAAGAGACTCGTTTTCCCGCCACGCGTAAAAAATGCCAGTCCAATCTGTTATATCGTGCTGGATGTCTGTGATTGATTTACGATACGAATGATTGCTGTTTATCTTCGTCGCTCGGCCACACATCACAAGAAATCACGGCGACGTGATACGGGCCCATCAATATTTCTCTCCCTCTCCCTCCCTCACTTACGATTCCTATGCGCAAATTAAATTCAATGCCAACGCGTAATTTAGCCGCCCCAGGTCTATTTATTTGATCGATGAGTGTTCGCGATTGTTTGCCACGTTTTCATTACGCGGATCGGTCGAATTCCTCCTCCCCTATTTATAACTTATGGTCATCCCGAAATGAAGCAAACAACTTTGAATTCTTGAAATCCCTTTATATAAATTAGATGCGTTCATGTGCAGTGTGTTTAAAGCGCGGCCGTGCGAATGATTGTGCATGTTCAACGTGCGTCCCCCTGTTCGGCTGGAACAAAGCGGCGATGAATCAGAATTGACCGAGGGTCAATCAAGAGTTACTCCCCCTGCGCTAATTCCCGCCGCTGCCGGCTCGATTTTTTACTTTTCCACCCTCGCCGCACCGCCGACTGATTTGGCAGCTCCTTCGTCTGCCGCTTTCTTTTTCTCGTCGGGGCCTTTCCCAGGAGACCATTAGTCCGGCCTGCAGGAAGAATAAAGTGCGACATCGGGAGACGTTATCAGCGCCGATTGGACACAATTTTCCTTTTTGCCGCTCAATCATCACGCACACACGTCGTCAATTAATTGTCTGCCTCTCTTTTTGCCCACTTTCATTTCCGTCCGCATTGCCGGAGAAAAACAGCCGCGAATTCACAGCTGTTGACGAAATGCAAATTTGTTTTTAAACTCGTTGCACGAGCTAGACGATTTAATTAAGAAATTAAATAATAAATCCGTGCCGTTTTCCGCCGAGTGAGCGCAGCGTGTGAGGGAAATTTAAATGTCATGCAAATAAGCGGCAGCTCTCGGCGCGCAATTCGCCATCAAACTTGGCGCAAACACGCTGGTGTGCGCCGCCGCCAGCCTGCAGATTAGCGGAATTGCGTTTCTTTGTGTGCGGAGTATATTTTTGTATGTACAGACTGTGTGAGCGTCGTATTTAACGTTTCCCTGCAGTAAACTCGCTTATTGTTGGTCGCCTCGGCGGCTGCTCGCCTGGGTGTCGGAAGCAGGGTTGTTGAGCCGCGCTCTTGCCGTGACTGATTGTCATTTGTCTCGAGACGCTGGAGCAGAATTTGGCACGCATTGCCAAAGATCGCCTTCTCTGTAAATAATATGGTCCATATATCTGAAAAATGAAAGCAATAATTTTTTGTAAATAATTTTTGATGTTTCAGGCAATTAATTAACATTTGACTCCCCTTTAAATCACAAATCAATTCATTCATGATCATGATAGCCATGGTAAAATATTAAATCAACCATCAAATATTTCTTTGATAATGATATTTTTAAGTTCAATTAAGCTTTTATATTATATATTTTTTACGTTTTGCAACATAGTAAAAATTAAATAATATGTAATTTTTAAAATAGCTATTTCATTCTGAAGTTAATTATTAACTATTATATGCGTTTATTCAAAATGAAAAGATATATAATACTTTTAACGATTTAACACAATAAATTATTAATAGTCAATTTTTTTTACATTACTCATTATTGGATTTTTTCATGCATTTAAATTATCTTTTTGTTATAATAATCATAATATTTTGTTGGAATTTGCTTAAGGAAATAGAATTCATGCATTGAACATTGAACATTTATTTCATCCACAAAGATTTTTATTGCAATTACTCAAAACAGTTTGATGGATACAACTTAAAAATACACTGCCATTTAAATCAAATGTTGAATTTATATGTGCATAAACGACCTTCACCAAACATTAATTACACAGAGACAGAAAATTTTCTGTCCAATTTAGGGCAGATTAAGTCATTAGTTACAGCAAACAGCCGATGATTTGTGTGTCAGAGCGGCGCCAGAGAGTGACTTTGGCAATGCAAATATCACTCTCAATACAAACACACTCTCTGTCGTCGTCAAGATAGAGAGCTAAGCAGGCAGAGTGGAGCGGGATGGATGTTTCTTGCCTCGATGATACACACTCACATGCGAATGCCTTCTTTGTTTGGTCCATGTAAACACACATAATGTGCTCTGCGTGAGAGCGAGCGAGCGGCGCCGCGCCGTCATGGCTGCCTAACTCGTGTAATATAATAGTGGGCTAATTAACGCCTCCCATTTCGGAACCACGCGTGTAGCCCTTAATTTTCGCTGCAACTTTACGGCCGTAAACGCGAAACACTAAACTCTCCGCTCTTTTATATCTCGAATGATCATAAAGGCGAGGTGATGAATAAAGTCTTGATTATCCCCCGACGGTGATTCGCCTTTATTATTTCTTAAGACCCGCCGCGGGGGTCGGAGGTACACGCAAACGCCGGCCGTAAAACGATTTACAACAAATTTTCGCTAATCCTTTCTTTCGTTTTGCTTCACAGGAAAGTCGCACCAACCACGAGGCATTAATGGGACGGTGGTGGACGGGTACGGCCCTTTAGACCCCTCTCAGCAGCAGCTCAAAACAGTGGCGGGGGTGCGAGCAGGCTTCTACCCTGCCTACAGCCTCAGCGGCTCGGAGGGTGAAGGTTCGCCAGTGCACCAGAACTCGCGCTCTCTGCGACGCGGCTACCAGCAACAGCAGCACCAGTACCACACTCCCTCGTACGCGGCGCCGCACCTGTCGGGCGCGGGACTCAGCGACACCCCCACTTCGGAGAACGCCTCCGACGCCACCCTCACAGACAGCGAGTTGGCCCTCGCCAGGGACTCAACCCTTCTTGTGCAAAACGGTAAGTACCTGTTTCATTGAAAATTGAAAAAATCAAAATAAAATGTGTCAACATGAAATTTAGGTAGGAAAATTGAATCCATTTAAGACTAAATTCTTCAACCACGTGGTTTCGTTCTGATTCCCGTCTAGAGAAATAAGAAAGAGGACTTCAAAAATATTTATATAAAAACAATTATATTATAGTGAAAGCCTTCTCCCTAACAAAATAGCTTCATAAACGCAAATTTATTTATGAAATTTTATAAATATATATTCAAACATTTAAACCCAATTGAACCATCAGACTTCATCATATTATTAATTGGATTTCTATGTTGGTATTGCGGCAGTGAATGAATGACTTTTGCTCTCTAATAATTGGAACGGAATCTCTGAATTGATATTTATAGAACTTAATATCCTTTGAGGAGACAGCCTCCTAGCAAAATAGCCTTTCGAAAATCCCATTGACGACCTCACATTCATTATTGGAAACCTCTTCACAAGGGTGAAATTTCCGTCGAGTTGCCTGCAGAAACGAAACGGCGGTAATTGGAACCCGTTTTGCTCTTCTCTCGGACGAAGCCTTATGTTTGCACTTAATTAAATTCGCGGTAAGTTAGAGAAGCCTAAATGCTCACCCAACTTTTATCTCCGCGAAGGGAGAAAGTATAAGGGAGAGAGGCTGGGGCGAGATCGAGATTAAAAGCAAATGAAAGAAGACGGCCGACGAATCGATTTTTTTTCTCATCGTGCAAAGTAAAAAGTACAAATTCCTCTGTAAAGGAAGAAAGTCTGCTTTTTTCTTTTTGCCTCGCCAAGTTTGAGAGAGCAGACTGGGGTCGATGCATTTGGCTGATTGCAGCGAACGAGCGAACTGTTGGGTCTGCCGAATCGCATCTGGAAAATGCCAAAAATTGACCCAGTTAGTCGACGCGCGCGGATGGGAATTTAAATATTCAGAAGACGGCGCGATGATAAATCCGGCGGCTGCTCCATCTGCTCGGGCCGCCTCTCATTGATTTACACGGCAAACATGGCTTGATTTTACGAGCCTCTGGCATTCGGAGAAATAAAAATTCGCCCTTAACGGGCGATGCACGCCGTCGAGAATATCATTTTTATGTAGCTCGGCGGCGGAAAGGTCGCGGCTTTGAGCAACCCGATACTCCAGTAGTGCGGCGCTCGTGTAATCCCCTCGCCTTCTTTGCGCGAAAGGGCACCGCAACAGCTTTGAACTCTTATGTACCGACACCTTCCTTTTGGAGCGCGAATTCTTTTGTAATCCTAATTTACGAGCCGCAGCTGAAAAATGGAGCCTCCGTTCCCATCATCACTTACTTACCTCTCGCCTTGCGGCGGGCGTAATTTCCTGTAAACAGCCCCGTTTAAGGGTAAACAGCCAGCTGGGCGAATGTTCCACTAAAAGAGAACAAGTAAACAGTCGCACGAACGGGGGCGTGCCCCTCGGGGACATCGGCCTAGATAGATAGGTAATAATGATGACTTTTTCACTTGCCCGACTCGATGTTGCCGGGTTTTATGGCTCCGGAGCGACAGGCAGATGTCACATATGGTGTTGTGTATCTATAGAAACGAGACCGTCTCGAGGAACAAGGCTTGAGTGATTTGAAGTAGATTGAATGTGAGACTTCAAGAGTCCGTAATTATGAATTTTCTTGTTCCGTTCGATTCACTTTGAACACAAATTGAAATACCTTTTCCTAATTGAATTTGCAAAGACAGTCCAATTCATTGAAGTTGGAAGCAATTTGCTCTTTCCTCAAATTACTTTTATGCACTCAGCTCAATGGTCTCTTATGCAACGTTCGAGTTCTTTTCGCAAACTTGCAGAACAGGCATTAAAACTATTGGATTTTTGCCTGCACCAAGAAGGCCCTGATTGGAGCCAATAAAGTTATAGAGCCGGGAAATGAAGTTTGGAGTCGATTATTATTGGCAAGCGGCGACATTACATCTCCGCTCCTTTTGTACGGCAAAGTTAATAAAAAGAATTGCTGCTCCGTGCACTACTCGCGCTCTTTGTCGTATCAACACACATCCAAGCAGTCACCCGGTCTGCGGCATTTTATCTGACTGTTGTTAGCTGAAACAAAAGGAATAAAATGGAATTCGCTCATGCATGCACGTGCATAAAAACACAAGGGGAAGGAAACAACTTCAGCTCGCGCTCCTCTTGTTTGTAGCTATCTGCATGCTTAGCAACGTCGACCACTGCAGCGGGGCGAATTTAATTTTCCGTTGTGTTAAATTGGGAGGATTTTCGTCCCAGCCGACGTCGCCGTGTTCCGAAAACAAAAACAAGGAGGCGGGTCGGCAGATATATACATAACAAGTGCGGCGCTGGGCGATTTAGCCGGGATATTTACGGTCAATAAATGGCCCGAGTAACTGGCGAACACCCCCTTAAAATAATTTAAATCTGACAGCGTTATTACGCAACGCACCGTCGACAAAACCAAGGAGGAGGAAACGAACAGGGGCGCAAAACTACTTGAGAGCGCGGGGAACAAAAGCGAAATGGGTTTTTGCAGGTGCTTCTAGAGTAAGATGTGTTTATGGGGTGGTGCGGAGAGGAAAAAAGGCGTTCTGCTGTGTAAAAAAAACTGCGCTTTTAGCTGGCCAATTGAGCCTGATTGCTTCCTCAAGTACTTCTTGTTTGCCTTTTGTTTAAAACAGAGAAGTGTTAAAAAATTGTATCTTATCATTTTATTGCAGATTATGATAAAACTAAACTTTTAATTTACACGGAATACAAAATTAATTGCTCAAATATTTTGAGAAAAAAGCAATTTTTTAAATTAAACTGGGTAAATAGATAAAAAAAAACTTTCAGTTGCCCTTTCAATGATTTTTAATTTTTTTCTATGCAAAAATATAAAAATATTAAAGAAGTAAAAGGTAATTTTTTGATCATTTTGCTTTAGAGATGAAAAGCGGGGTTCGATTTTCCCTTACAAAGCAAATTTCTACACACACATATAAAAGACCAAAATTAGCTCTGATTCAATCGTAAGTGGAACAAAGCCGTGCCTTTTTACTGCAGAATCAATCAATACGATTGCACACGCCACGTGCAACAAATCGCCGGCCCGCAAAAGCATCATCAAGCAGAGGCAGTGCGGCGATAAAACTTTCCAATTGCAAGGTGATTAGCGCGAGCCCTCCGCCCACCAGCACAGAAGTACACACAGAGAGAAAATCCGTTCGCTCGCGTAATAGGGTATTGATTGCGCCTGCCGCCGCCGCCGCACCGCATTCGGTTCAGACTCGGGTATGCAACCAACGCCACAGCAGCAGCAGTCCTCAATATTTGGTGACCCAAATTGCATTAGTAGTGTTGTTGATAATTACCTGCAGCAGCAGCAGCAGCAGGACGGCAGCCGCCATCAATTTATCAGACGGCGCGTTATTGCAATAATCCATTTGCCGGCGAGAGAGTGAGTGCTCGGCATTAATATTTACCTTTGCGTCGGATGCCGATGCATCATCGCGCCAGAAAGTGCCATTAGTCGGCGCCGCCGCCCCGAATATGAATGCATTTAAGCGGTCGCACCGCGCGGAATAAATATCGGCGAATTATGCTAAACAAAGGAGATAAAAGTGACAAAATCATTTGTTGTATGTGCGCACCCACAAATTTGAATGTTTGCATCGGCCCGCAATAAATTGCCACAGACGAATAAATTGCTGCTCTCCCCCGCAATGCTGGAAACTGCCCTGGAAAATTGTTCCGTCGTCTTATTCGCGTGCCGAGGGGATTCAAAATTAAATATGGCTGACCAAATTTTGAAATTGCATAGCACATCCCATAGAGTAGCATTAATGTTTTCTTTCGGCGTGTAGTATTAAATTTTTTAACAAACTTATAAAAATTAAACGTAGAAGTATATTTTATGAATTAAAATTAAATAAAATAATTTTTTTCTAAAAAACATTTTTATGTTTAATTATGTAACTCGAATTGCATACAATTTTTTTTCAATATTTTTAATAACTTATTGAACTAGTAAAATAAATATTTATTATAAATTTTGATTTAACAAAATTATTATATTTATATAATCTAATAAATTTTGATCTTAAAATTTGAAATATTAATCTATATTTTGATTTAAAAAATCTAAACAAAGAAACAATTAATCTCAAACAAAAGTTAAATTAATACTTTTATTTCATGTAATATTACAAATAAAAGAATTAAATAATAAAATTAATAGTAATTATCAGTAAAATTTTAAAGTTTTAGAGACAAGACCGAATTTTTTTTTTAATTTCACTTATTTCCCTAAAATTTAAAACCAAACTGGAATAGATTTATTTGAGACTGCACAATTAGCCACCAACTTATCATGCAATTAAGTGGCAAAAATTTTGTTGAATTCGTTGGAAAAGTCACATATAATTTGCATGTTTATCATACTTAAGGTTTTTTTGCCTCTTTAGTCTTGCTTACCGTCTGGATGGCTTTTTAATTTTAATCCTAGCTTTAACCTCTTTAATGCCACGCAAATAATAGTTTCGCATCTCATGAAGGGGTATATAAAATACACTCAGCCGGCCAAGTCTTTGTACTTTTAATTGCAACTCGCAGCCGGCTGAAAAATGGCTGCGGCCCTTTGAAAGTGCGGAATTTCCACAAAAATGATCCCCACTGCGGCCGTCAAAGGGCGCGGCAGGTATGTAATGAAAGGGTTCCGTAATTTTTGCTCATTTCCGCGCAGCTTTCGGACGTGTGTCTCGTCAATTACCAACGGCAACCCCATCAGCGTGTGCAGCTATGATTATTTTGGTGTTGATTCAGACGAGAGAGAGGCGATGTTGACTTACTGCTCGAAACCAGTGCATACATTTAGTAATGACGACCGCCGTAATAACACAAAGGGGTTTGATTAAAGCAGAGAGAGCGAGGGACGACCAGTGCCATCCGCACGTGTGTATTGATTCGGGACTTGCAACACAGCAGAGAGGAGATAATATTTGCTCAGCGACGCTGCC